AAATGGTTCTTTGGCATTGATGTAAATGGTTACATGACAAGATGCCTAAAAACCATGCGTACATGAACATTTTGTCAAAGCAGATTTTTACCAATGTTATTAATTTCATTATTGCTCACTGATGAAGTGCAGAACTAGGGTTATTCATGGTATTGACCCTCATAAGGTTAGAAAATGTAAAAGTACATTCAGACCCAAGTTTAAGCAATTTTTTAGTTTTTTAACCAATGGCATCATTAGCAAGAAGTATGAATTATTGGTACATTTATACTTTCTAATTCTATGCCTTAAATACGGATTATTCTACACATTAACTGCATTTATGCAAGACATTTTTGTAAGGATTAGGATCTTATTTTTTTTAAACATTTTATTATTGCTCACTGATGAAGTGCAGAACTAGGGTTATTCATGGTATGACCTCATAAGGTTAGAAAATGTAAAAGTACATTCAGACCCAAGTTTAAGCAATTTGTGCTTCCATATGTGCTTAAATTAAAGCAATGGCAAGTGTACAAAAAGTTAGAATTAACCTAACAATTCCTGTCATCCAAGTGCCCATTAAAACCACTTTACAATATTTTTTTCATAATATTAACAATTAAAAACTACGGGCTATGCTGGGATTCGAACCAAGAACCATTAGTGTGATAAATATGAGTTAGATGCCTTAACATCTAAGCCACCACAGACCCATGATTAACCTAACATATTTGTTTTATAATATCATCAAATAATAATAATATAAGATCAAAAAATTGAAATGCTCATAGGTTAAGTATTATTACAAGCAGTGCATAAAGGAAAAAGTAACCAAGAAAAAAACAACCAAAGGATATGCTTCACATTGATCAATATTGGGTGCAATTGTACTTTTAGGTTATTCTATTCTAGTAAAGGTTTGCATATTAAGCCACATTATCAGCTTATTATTAATAATTAATAGGTTGCATATTTCCATGATTATGCTTCCATTATAACATCCATATGCCACTCTTGAACTGGTGACAACTGAAGCATAAATTGCACAAAATTTTTTCCTCAATGAAACTAACTAGAAAACATCTAGAATCTAGTAATATCCATAAATATTTTCACTTTTAGGCTCATAAGGCTAATTATGAGCTTATTAGTACAATATTGTCATTTAAAAGGCTATATGTTGTAGTTGTAGACACCGGTGGACTTGCCATTCAAAGCAATTCTATTGAACATTGCTTTTCTCTAACAAGAATAAACTTTAATTGGTACACAGAAGAAGCATGGTTATTTAGCATATTTACTAGTTTATTTATTTAGTTTTATTATAAGTTCATAAACAATGTGAAATTGTATTCAGTAATAGCAGAACAAAGCTAAAATCTGAAAAATTGTACACAACCGCCATGGGAAAACATCTAGAATCAAGTAATATCCACAAATATTTTTAATTTTCAGCTTTTAAGATTAAATATGAGCTTATTAGTATTTATTATGTATTCAACAGGCTACATATTTCCCAGTTGTAGTGGACATGCCATTCAAAGCAATTTTACCAAAAATGTGTTTCCTTTTTAAAACGATAGTTCCTACTCACAGTAAGTGCTGAAATATTCATGGATAATTTCGAAAAAAATCTTTTCAAATCAAAGAACAAATAATTAAATCTGTTCATTTCTGGAAACGCTATGTAGACGATATTTTATGCATATGGTCGGGAACATTAGAGGCTCTTAAAGAATTCCTCCAACTGATTAATTCTCTAAATTTTACATTGGAAATTGGCAAAGATGGTTGTTGAACTTTTTAGACCTAAAACTGTCCATAATAAACAACCTAATAGAAATAGACGTATATAGAAAACCCACAATACAGACACTATGTACCAGCGGATTCTTCCCACCCATGGTCCCAAAAGGCTGCTGGTTTCATTTGGATCATAGACCAGATGTTAAAACTTCCGCTAACACCTGATAACTATAAAAAAGAATTAAAAAGTACTAAAACCTTAGCAAAAAACAACGGGTATCAAGAAATATTTATTGATAGGTTGCTAGTTAAAAGAATAAAAAAATTAACTTTAAACGAATCAACAATAAACTCAGCAACCCCACCACAAATGAATCATTAGGTTTCTGTTGTTTGCCATACATCGGTGAATTATCGGAAATAGTTAGTAAAATTTTTAAACAAGAAGGTTTTAGAATAGCTTTTAGAAGTACGGGGTCACTTAAAAACATCCTCTCAAAACCTAAAGACAAAGCAGACAACTTGGCAAAAAGCGGGGTTTACCAACTCAACTGTAATGATTGTGATATTAAATATATAGGAAAAAGCGGTAGAGAAATAAAAACAAGAGTAAAAGAACACTTGCCTAAATCGAGCAAATTTTCGGAATTTAAGGACCATCTAAAAGAAACAAAACAATTTCAATTCAAATCTAAATACAAGAGTATTACATAGTTTCAACAAAGGGAAAGAACTAGATTGGTTTGAGAAATTTGAAATTAAAAAATGTAAAATTGAACATAATTTTGATCTACCTCCCATTTTAAATATGTACATAAATAAAAACTTACTGTGAGTAGGAACTATCTTTTTTAAAAAGGATTGAACACCACAATCACTCCATCATTTATCATTTCTAAAAATTTGTTTTTATCTCATGAGAATAAACTTTAAATTGTACACAGAAGAAACATGGTTATTTAGTGTATTTATAGTTCATTATCATACATTCATAACCAACAGCCGCCATGGGAAAATATTTAGAATCAAGTAATAAATATTTTTATTTTTTGGCTTGCAAGACCAATAACTGGCTACATTTTCCCAGTTGGATCCACTAGTATCAAACAAAGCAATTACAGAAACATGAACTTTTAATTGTACACAGTAGGGCAAGGTTATTTAGCATATTTACAGTGTTACTATATCGAATGTATGCAGACGACATTGTATTTATTGCAGACTGCCCAACTGAGTTACAGCCAATGATTAATAAGTTAGCTGAGCATTGCCAATGGTGGAACCTTACCGTTAACATGGATAGGTCGAATATTACGTTTTTCCAAAATGGAGGTATGCTCACCAGATCTGAACACTGGAAATTTAATGGCATCAGTATTAATATTGTAAATAAATATCTGGGTGTAATTTTAACACCAAAACTTTCATTCAAATCCCATTTTGAGCAGAAATTGAGCTTAGCAAAGTTGGCATTTATGTCTACTTTTAAAAATATTTTAATAAAAAATAATATTCCTTTCTTGATTAAATCAGAAATTTTTTACTCAGTTTCATGATGTATAATTTCCTATGCAGCCCAAGTTTGGAGCTTTTTACGTTTTGATGCAATTATTTTTCATTAAAAGAAGACTGCTCCTCCCCTATATAATATTATATTCCTCCTTCCTATTTCCCAAATTATATTCTATGTATAGAAACAGGCTTAGCTCCAATTATTGTTATGCTCTCCATTTACACTATAGGTACATTGGAAGTTTTATCATTACCAGATTTTAGATTGCCAAATATTTTAGACAGAGGTAATTCGAAAGAATAAACAGTGGTACAAAGAGCTCATGAATACTTGTGATCGTCTGCAGCTTGGGGCTTTTGTTTATTTAAATTTAAAAAAAGGAAATTTGTTATAGGAACAAGTTGAGCAAGAATTTAAAAATATTGGAAGGCAAAAAGCGCAACAATTTCTTCCATAGTTTGTACTGGGATCTGAACTCACAACCAGGGGACAATCGTTATATTTTGGATATTCTGGGGTTTAGATCTCAGTTCTTGGTGCAGAGCCTTCTGCACCTTCCCCAAGTAATTTTTGGCTCTCAGGGTAGTTTTAATCAAATGTGAATTCCATGTGCAGGTCTAGTGTGAACCCTAGATATTTGGCCTTGGAAAATGAAATTAGGGTCCTGTTTTGACCTGCAATTTTCAGGCTTCCTATTGTCCTCTTCCCTGTGAATGGAATCATTATTGTTTTGTGGGGTTTAATAGATAGCTCCTCCCTTTTGCACCACCTGTTAACCAGATTGACGGCTCGTTGTATACAATCCATTACGGTGTTTGCATAAAATCTTTCTTGTTCCAACATTTGCAGCAGTTTGTCTACCAGCATCATCCACAGTAGAGGTGAGAGAAGTGTCTTGGTCCACCACACCACAGTCCCATACATCTTACGATGCATATGTATAGACATGGTTCATTTTGGGGTTTAGACCCCAGTTCTTGGCACAGAGCTTCACCTCCTCCAGGCAATTTTGGCTCTCTGGGTAGTTTTAATCAAATGTGAATTCCATGGTCTAGTGTGATCCCTAGATTGAACCGCTCAACTAAAAAATCTCCTGTATCTGTCAGCTTGAACATGATAGTTGTTTAGGCAATTCTAATCAGAACTGTAGTGTCCTAAGACCAATGTTGACATATGGGTCTGTAGTGTGGTGGACCAATACTCTTCAGGCCGAAGAAATCAGGCTATTAAGTGGCACCCAATAGTAGATATATCCCTTGCAGGCATCCCCTGGCTGTCTTAGCCCAGATGGTCACTGCCCAAAATGGATGTGATTATCCTGTTCCTTAGGGCTTCTTCCACCCATTGGTATATCTTTTCCAAGGAAATTGCTGTATATAGAGAGGCAGTTTTAACAAACGGTTCTGATTAGAATTGACTATACAACTCTCATGTTCAAGCTGGCAGATACAGAGATTTTTTAGTTGAACAGTTTAATTATTGATTTCATCACTTGTTTCATATATTTATAATGTTTGTAACTTAATGGCTACAAGCCAACTTATACAGATAGATTCTGTCCATGGAATTGGTCCATTGTCTGAATGGAATTTTGAAACCGTAACTGTATATATTTAAACAAACACTTTATTATTGTTATTGTTACTATATTAATATAGTTTTATGTTGAATATTTACAGTTTTAACAGCTATAACCAAAGATTATTGTACTCAGTGAAACTGAACAATGTTAGAATGTGGAAATTTTGCAACCCACCATGGGAAAAAATCAGTAATTGTGTCTTATTTACGACATTCGTAGTTTGGACCGAATTTTGCGTAAAATTGGGTAGAAATTGGATTTGTTTGTTATTTTAATGTCACCATATTGTGAGGTGGAGACACACTTGAAGGAGTGCACCTTTGGCCTGTGTTCAGACGTCTGGACCTTTTCCTGGAAAAACGATAACAAAGAGAACGGACAGAACCTTTTCCGCGGTTTCTGGTGAAAAACAAACAAGGTGTGAAAATAACAAAAAATGTGAAAAAAACACGCTGAAACAAAGGAAAGCAAAATAAATGAGCGATTAATAAAATAAAAGAAAGCTGATGATTCTTTGAAGAAAGGCGAGGCGGATCGAAGAAAAAACAACAACGAATAGTTTCCGTTCGAGAAGATCGCCAAAAATCAGTTTTCCCGTCAAAAATCGAAGTTGGAAGCGACGAGTTTGAAAAGGAAGCCGGCTCTCGTTATCGATGGAGGCGGAGGCGGCGGCGGCCGAATCGATTTGAGACGGGAGGAGTTTCCAGTCGGCAGTTGGGTTTCGGAAGATAAGAGGAAACGGGGCTCGGTCTCTAAACGTAAATAAACAGCGGATCGGGATTTGAAAAAGGGGAAAAAAGAGGAAAAGGAGAGCCGTTTCGAGGGGCGGCGGAGCGAGGAGAGCACGACTTGGCGACAGATGAACCAAAGCAGGTGCCCCCAGGAGGCGACGGCGACTTGCCTTTCACTCGCCGAAGATGTCAACAACTTGGAAACAGTCTCCAGGCTACTTTCATCGCCGTAAGTCCTTCAAAATACCAACATCTTCCTCTCTTACAACCCTCAAATACCCTTTATATTAGATTTACTTATTGCATTATAAAAAAAATATAAAAAAGTACCCAGAGGTTGAACTGGTATGATTGACAACAAAAAGTTTGGTTTTTGATTAAAAACCATAAGGAACATGCTAATTCAACCTGGGTTTTAAAATAACTTCAAATTTCTTTCTTGTGAGTAAAGAGAGCCTGGCGAAAAGTTTCCTCCATCAAACAACACAGGCTTTTTGTTTAGACTGGAGAATTTATGCTATTTGCCTAGAAAGATTGCTATTTTCAAGAAATAACACCTAATTTGACATGGTGTATGTGGTTTAAATAAAAAAAAATGATGTGAACCGTTGGATTCCTATTTGTATTTGCCCTGTAACCCATTTATTTTTTAATGTGTACTAATGAAATAACAGTTTGATAACCTTGTAAAATTTTACTTCATTTATGATTTTATCCCTGAAAATAACATCAAACTTCTTTCTTGTGAGTAAAGAAAGCCTGTCGAAAAGTTTGCCTCCATCAGTCAACACAGGCTTTTTGTTTAGATTGAAGATTTTATGCTATCTGCCTAGAAAATTCAACTCATAACACCAAATTAACCATACACACACAAATCTTTGGAGTTTTGTATTTGATTAAAAACCATACAGGCATAACATGCTAATTCAACCTGGGTTTTAAAATATATCAAATTTCTTTCTTGTGAGTAAAGAAAGCCTGGCGAAAAGTTTCCTCCATCAAACCACACAGGCTTTTTGTTAAAACTGAAGATTTTATGCTATCTGCTTAGAAAATTAAACTCTTAACATCAAATTTATCATGGTAGATACAGCTTAAATCTAAAACTGATTTGAAATGTTTGATTTGTACTTGTATTTGTCCCGTAACCTATTTATTTTTTATTGTGTACTAATGTAATAACAATTTGATAACCTTATCAAATTCTACTACGTTTATGATTTTTGTCCTGAACAAACAGGGTTTTGATTGACAAAAAAAAAAGCTTTACAGTTCTGTTTTTTCTTGTGAGTAAAGAGAGCCTGGCAAAAAGTTTCCTCCTTCAAACAACACAGGCTTTTTGTTTAGAGTGGAGAATTTATACTATTTGCCTAGAAAGATTGCTATTTTCAAGAAATATCACCTAATTAGACATGGTGTATATTAGCTTAAACCTAAAACTGATTTGAAATGAATTCGTACTAGCGTTTGCTTCTTAACCCATTTATTTTGTATTGTGTACTAATGTAATTTGAAAACTTTGTTAAATTCTTCTACGTTTATGACTTTTCCCTTGTACAAAGAAGTTTTAATTGACATACACACACACATACACAAAAATATTTGGAGTTTTGTTTTTGATTAAAAACTATAAGGAACTTGCTAATTCAACCTGGGTTTTAAAATAACATTGTATTTCTTTCTTGTGAGTAAAGAAAGCCTGATGAAAAGTTTGCCTCCATCAAACCACACAGGCTTTTTGTTTAGACTGTAGATTTTATACTATCTGCCTAGAAAATTAAACACACACACATGCACAATATTTGAAGTTTTGTATTTAATTAAAAACCATAAAGGCAGAATATGCTAATTCATCCTGGGTTTTAAAATACAACAGATTTCCTTCTTGTGAGTAAAGAAAGCCTGGCAAAAAGTTTCCTCCATCAAACAACACAGGCTTTTTGTTTAGACTGGAAATTTTATGCTATCTGCTTAGAAAATTAAACTCATAACACCAAATTAATCATGGTAGATACAGCTTAAATCTAAAACAGATTTGGATGTTGGATTCGTACTTATATTTGCCCCGTATCCCATTTATTTTGTATTGTGTACTAATGGAATAACAATCCAAAAACCATGTCAAATTCTTCTATGTTTACAGTGTATTATTTTCATCTTCGTGTAATAAGGAAAGATGTTAAAAAAGTCATTGTGTTTTTTAATTATCATGCAATAAGTAAAGATTTTAAAATTGTCATCGTACTTTTTTCATGATCATGAAATAAGTACAAATTAAAAAAAAAAAGGAATGACACTTTATTTATCATCATGCAATAAGTAAAGATATTAAAAAGTCATTGTACTTTTTAATCATCCTGCAGTTAGTACTTAAAAATAATTGTTCCTTTTTCATCATCACCTGATATGTACAAATGTTCAAAAATAAGGAATAGTACCTTTTTTTAATCATCATGCAATAAGTACAGATATTAAACAGGAATTTTACCTTTTTTAAATGAAGATAAAAAAAGGTACAGTATATTTTTTTAATATCTGCTATATTTTAATATATGAAATATCCAATACATAATTTTTTTAAATTTCTTTCTTTTTTTATATCTGCATATCTTAAATATGATTTGTACTAGGAGTGAACAGTTTTTTTTTATTATTGATTCTCTTTGACTTTGAATAGCCTTAAGAACAATAAGAGGAGAAAGGTGGAATTTGATAGATATCTTTTCCTTTAGCCCTCCTCCTTTCTTTTCTTTCATACCCCAACCTTTTTTCTTCTACCTGCTCCCACAAAACTGTGTCAAAAGAGAAGGGATAATAGAAAATGGGGCAAGGAGCAGAAGAGGGGAGCCAAAGAGAAAGGAGAGAGGGAAGTGGAAATGAAGAGAAAGTAAGTAAGAGGCAAAATAGGAGAGAAAGGAGGGAATTAGAAAGTCTTTTTTTACTTTGGATCTTGCTTCTTGCCATGTGAGTCACTTAGAAGGAGTTTGTCTGTTGCATGAAAATGTTCAGCGAAACGGAGGAAGGAGACGAGATGGTCAACTCGCAGCACTATTGCCTGCGGTGGAACAACTACCAGTCCAACATGACGTCCGTATTTCACCATTTGCTGCGGACGCAGGCTTTCGTCGATGTCACCCTAGCTTGCAACGACCAATCTCTAAAAGCACACAAGGTAAAAAATAAACAATATCATTGTTTGTTTTTTTTTGTTTTTTTTTTTAAATTAAAAATAAATTTTACCGAGAAAATTTATTTTCAGGTTGTTCTTTCTGCTTGTTCATCGTACTTTCAGAAACTACTCTTGGAGAACCCTTGCAAGCATCCTACCATCATTATGCCGCAGGATGTATGCTTCACAGATCTCAAGTTCATAATCGAATTCGTATACAAGGGGGAGATCGACGTTTCCCAGGCCGAACTCCAAGTAAGAACATTTTATTATTTTTAAAAATCACTTTTTTCCCCCTCTTTGATACTCATTTTTTATTTAAAAAATTCTAATTGTTTTTCCATAATTTTACTTAAATATTTCTTAAAAATTGTTTTTAACTAGTTCAGTGTACTTCTTGATAGCCTAGTTTATTATAGACAGCTTTAAAATAACTATGCCATTTAAGTAGATCAATTCAATTTTTTTTATTGATGTTTCGCTGGATGATAAAACAGGCATTGAAGATAAAATTGATTTTTGAATTGAAATAAACAAACTCATTTATTGATAACAGTAGGGATTATTTTCCAGTCAGTACAAAACAAAGGCATTAGAATATTATTTATTATTTCATAGTCACCTATCATCTTGATCTTCTATCGTCACTGATTTTTGTCAGTTCAGACGCATTTTGCACTAAATTAAAAAAATATTAGCGAGGATAGTCAGTCCAAGATGATTGGCAACTACCAGCAACTAGAGCCCACAAGAGGAAATCTCACAATATTATTATTATTATTTTAAATAATTTTTTTATTATTTTTTTTTTAAATAATTGTTTAGTGGTATAATTGACCATATTATTTCAATTAATTATTCTTTTTATGTAAGGTCTTGGTTGAGATGAAAAATTAGTGTCACGAGTGGGATTTGAACCTCGTGAACTGAAGGCCGTGGTTTCGAATCTTAACTTTTTCTTCTCAACCAAGACCTTACATAAAAAGAATAATTAATTGAAGTTATTTTAAATATTAAATGCAGTAAACAATGTGATATTTTACAATGTTTATTCAAAGAAAAATCATCATTAAGAAACTATCATTATTTCTTTCTGTGTTGAGGTGAATCAGGGGGGGGGATTTCAAATGCATTATTTTTGTTCAATAATTAAATTTTTCTCTATTGATAAACCTTTACATTTAAATAATAATAAAAATATGTTTTAAATTTTTTTAGAACAAATTTACACAAAAACATTAATCCACATATCCTTGCGAGATAATAAATTTATAAAAAACAATTTTTTTTCTGCGAATTTACATGACATCAAAATTAGAAATTAAAAATGATCACCTCTCATTTGAACAAAGCAAAACAAAAACGAAGCAGTAAATGAGTATTATGAAAAGTGGGTCATTGAATCATTTTAAAAAGATTTCCATTAAATATATGTACATATAGAAAATCTATTACCTATCAATTATTGAGTCAGTCAAAAGAAATAATTCACCACTAGATGGATTGTGATCTAAAAACCGTTTATTAAAAGAAAAAATTGAGGGTATTTCAATTGTGTCAGTATTTCTGAATATTTGAAAAAAAATTGTAAGCACGATTCGTAAGTCTGTCGGGTTTGAATGCAGGGCTGCTGAATTTGAACCTGGGACCTTTACCTTACAGTGATAAGACTAAATGCAGGAAATTATTTTTAGTCTGAGTTTCAGTAGAATATTTAAAATGATATAATAAAATATTAATTTACCACTGGGTGGATGTTGATTTTTTTTTTTAAATTATTTATTTATTTATTTTTGTAATATAGGTCATATAGGTTTTTGGAAAACAATTTTTAAAAAAAAGTATGCTGGTTTCTAATGTGTCAATGGCTATACTGATGTTGATTGGGGAAATTTTAATTTTTTTACTAATTTTAAATTTTCTTGAAAATAACCTTTACATTAAAATAATAATTAAAAAAAATTACACATAAACAATCCACGTACCTTTATGGTGGATGCGATTTGGTGAGAAATTCTCAAATACGCTTTTTTTGTGATTTAGTGTCGTGAGATCAAAATGAGACATTAAAAAAAGATCACCTCACATTTTAACAAAACAAATCAGAAACAAACCATCAAATATGTATTAAAAAAAAGTGGGTCATCAAATCTTAAATGGATTTCTGTATATTCTGTAGTTATCTGTGGAATTATTTAGTCTGAGTTTCAGTATTTAATATTTAAAATGATATAAAAAGATATTAATTTACCACTAGGTGGATTTTGATTTTTTTTTTTGTGAGAGGGTGTTTGTAACAATATAGGTCACATAACACCCAGGGTGCCGGTGTTTTTTTTTTTTTTTTTGTGTTATGAACTATGCATATTAGCCATGTGACAATTCGTATATGTGTGTTCAAATTTGGGGGGGGGGGTTATTGTGAAAAAAGGGCCAGAGGCGACGCTGGGAATCGAACCCACGACCGCGGCGTTGGATTTTTTTTTAAAAGTATGAAATGTGTCAATGCCTATACGGTTGCGGCCACTGACATCCCTTCACAGTAGTTCCTTTGTTTTAAGGTAAATCAGGGGGAATATTAAAATTACAATTTTTTTACTAATTTTAAATTTTGTTGAAAATAATCTTTACATTAAAATAATAATTAAAAAAAAATTAAAACAAATTTACACATAAACAATCCACATATCTTTGCGATGTAAAATGAAATTCTCAAAAACACTTTTTTTGTGTGGGTGAATTTAATGTCGTGAGATCAAAATGAGATATTAAAAAATCTCTCATTTGAACGAAACATCAAAAACAAACCATCACATATGTATTACAAAAAAGTGGATCATCAAATTATTTTAAAAAGATTATATAAAATAATTCATAATTACCAAATATTAATTTACCACTAGGTGGATGTTGATTTTTTTAAAAGGGTGTTTGTAAAATATAGGTCACATAAGACACAGGGTGCCGGTGTTTTTGGAATTTTTTAAAAAGTATATTGGTTTCTAATGTGGTGTCAATGTCCTTACAGCTGCAGTCCCTGACATCCCTTGTATTCAGTCCATTCTAAATAAAGATAGGAAAAATATCGTTAACAGTGGAAAATGACAAAAAGGGGTAAATTTCCCAATTTTGGCTTTTGTATATCTGCCAATTTCAGTACTTTTCCTATCTGTTATTCTTTTCTCTTGTTTTAAAACTGTTTATTAGTTCATTTAATTTTCATTTATTTATTATTTTTTTAAAGAAAGGTATTAAGTTAAGTTTGAACTCAGTACCTTTACCTTTGTGATGAGCGGCCACTGATGCCCATCATTTTTAGACTCCCAAGTTGGGCAGACTGTCATTAATTTCTTTTTATGCCTGAATTTTTTTTTATCACTTTGTTTTATAGATGTTGTATTCTTTATTGCATTTCTTATGGTCGAAAATTCAGGATTGAAAAAAAGAGCATTAGTATAGAAATCGTTATTTCTTACATATCGTTAATTTATTTTAGCTGGTTGTATTGTAAAAAAAAAGTCGATATGTTTCCAATTTTAATTGGTCAGTTGACAAATATCTGTTATAACAATAATATAATTAATTATACATAGAAAAAAGAAAATGATTTGAAAATACTAATACAAAATTTTCTATAAATTTTTAAATTATTTTGTGTTCTTATGAAGTTCCGTCGTGCCATTTTTATTTTTTTAATTGTTGGGTGTTTTATTTAAAATATAAAACATTTGGAATATAAAATAATTTATTCAACCATTTGATAATAGTGGCAACAATTAGTCATTAATAACATTCTATATGATAAATAGGTATATTGTAAAATTTAATTTTTTAACTTGATATTGACTATGCTGTGGATGAGACTGCAAGCTTTTTGAGGTGCTCCATGAAGAGCTGAAGGCTTACGTCGTCGGTCAGTACAGGCGCGCCGTAGTCGCCTCCCATTCCGTACATGTTGTTGTGCGTCTGAGAAGGGTTGACTTTCGAGAGGAGGAATCTGGCTTGCGACCCTCCGTGCTCCGTGTCGATGTACCGCGGCATAGGGAATCTGGTGTGGAGTATCTCTTTGGCGTCGTCGATCGGGGCCTGGAGCAGTTGTTTGAAGTTCTCGTATTCTGGCAGGTCTTGGTACCCCTGGGCCCTCCAGGATGCGATTGACTCGCCGTGGAAAATCAGAATCTGGAAAAATGTGTCGAGCAGGAGAATACGATCGGGTTGAATACTCGTAGTATCTAGCAAAACGGGCTCTGGACCGTTGAAACTGTAACTGTACAATATCGGCTGTATCATGATTAAACTTTGCGATAGATCTTCTCTCATCAGGATGTGCCTGTAGTAAGAAGTCTCATCAGGGCTGTTGTTGAAGACCTGGAGGAACTGCGATCGCCGTAGATGGTACATGAATTGCGGATAAAGCGAGAAGTTTTCAGGCAGTCTGAAGCTCGAAGGGTCATCTTTGCTGTACTCGCCGAATTTCTGGCAGAGCCTGATGAGCATACGATCAGCCCAACGCATCACATCGGCACCGTCTTCGGTGTCTGCCCGGTGGACTACCATCCTAGCCATGAGCACTGCACCGGCTTCCTGGTCAAAGCCTGCACTGATGTGGAACATGTTTGTCGAAGCGTCCGCCCAGTTTCTCGCCACCGTCGTCACCCTTATCCTTCTTTGTCCCGTAGTCGCGTGCTGGTACTGAGTTATGAACTGAACGCATCCTCTTCCTCCTTGAGGAATCGGTGCCGAGTGTTGATTCACGATATCGAAAAACAATGCGCACGTCGTGTTTTGGTTGAAAGTGCACATTTTCCATTGACAAGTCCCACCCAGTCCTATATCGGTCTCACTGACACAAGGCCCTTTTGTATTTAGCGAGACGCAAGGTCCTATCGCTCCCATCACCTTCAGTTCACGCGACGTTTTTACTTCCAGTATTCCGTTGAATGCCATTTTAATGTCGCCTTTCGGATCTCTAGCCAGTACACGCTGGAATGTCTGCTTGAACAGGGAAGAATTGAAAGAATCCCCCATGACCATATGACCTCCTGTGGAGTTGCAACACTGCTTCATCTCGTGCAGTCCTGTCTGATCGAGAGCGCAAGAGTAAATGTCGATTGAATGACCATTGGTCGCGGCTCTCAGCGCCACGGCGTCGTAATGCTTGACAGCCTTTTTAAGATACCTCGCGTTATCTTTCTGAATGTCGTGATGTGAACGGATTGGTTCGCGTAGGTCATCGTTCACCACAAGTCCAGGACCCTGAGAGCAAGGTCCTCCGACGAAGAGCATGATCCTAGCGCCGGAATTAGGAAAAGAGCATTCTAGCAAACCCACGGCGATTGCGAGAGCGGCTCCGGTCGATCTGAGCGGTCTCTTGCCTTGGAGCACCGGCCAAGGGTCTCTCTGCATCTCGCCCAAGAGATCTGTAAGGCTCATGTCACAATTTTGAACCGGCTGAATGAACCTGTTCATCGCCTGAGGCTGTTGTTGGACCTGAGTCCTCGCTGCGACCTTCCCGATTCCGAGCATGTCTTGGATCTGTTTGGAAGTGAGCTCTTTCGTACCACGAAATACATAGCTCCTCGAACATCCTTCGCAACCGAGCTCGTGCACCTGCACCATACGGCCGAAGCTGATGAGCCCGATAAGAGCGTTGGGGGGCAGAAGGCTCAACGAAGTCTGCAAGGAGTCTTTCAAAGCGCTGAGCTCTTCCTCATCAAGGCAAGTGTCTATGACAAGGAGAAAGATAGGCGGAAGGAACTGTGCCCTGGTAATAATGTACTCAATAGTGGAGAACGAAGGGATCAGCTCCGCCGGCTGGTGTTGTTCCGATATCGCAGCGTACTGAGGCGGAAAGGGATTCCTCTGGAAGCAGAAGTTGCACACCCAGAGTTTCGCCCTGTAGTCGACCTGGCACAGAGGGTTGAGAATGGCCCGGCAAGTGTTTCTCGTACAGAGCACCGGATCGTACTGGAGCGGAGGCAGGTCCAGCCGCTCCTTCAACGGTTGATATAGACATCCGACCGGGACGACAAGCTTCGACCCTTCAACCCTGCTCGACGGCCAGACGTTCCAGGTGAACCTCACCCCGTCCCGTTCCTCGCTCTGCTGTATGAACTCCTCGTAGGTCGTCATCTCACGGCTTTCACCCTCGTCCTCTCCGCAAAACAGAAATCAGGCAAATTCTAAGACCTTTCAATCGATCCGATTCAGCCGAAACGCATCACTAAGCTCGGATTAAGTACGAACGGCAAGCACCAACCGACCCGGTCTTTGGGAAACGTCGAAAAACTAAAAAGCCGAGTTTATCCACTTGACACGTAACCCTTGTTAAGAAGACACGATGTTGGTTACAACCCGGCCACATCGACAGAATCGAAGTCAGCTGAAACTCTGAAACTTTCACCAGAATTCGAACCCCTCTTTCACTCCGATCTCTCTCTCTCTATTTCTACTCTTATTGCACAATATGCGGATTTCTTTCAAAATAGAACAAATAAGAAGAGAATTCTTTAATAATTAAGTTTAACGGGAAAACGATGAGGGAGTTGCGATTAATCGCAGTGGAAGTTGGAAACAAACTTTGATCGATTCTACGTCGATCTGTCAAGACACCTCATTTCACCAAACCATTACGTTTTTTCCTTTCTCCTTACTGTTTCCAAGTACTACAAATTAAAAAGCCAAATTAAAACAAATAAATGACTCAATCTTGTTTTAACTAGTTTTTACTCTAAAAAAAAGACATTTTTACTAAGTTCTTGACTAATAATTCAGAGCCATTCGGTTGATTTTTTTTGTTGCTTTGTTTCAACTGTTTCCAAGTAGTACAAATTAACAAACGAAATTAAATAAAATAAATCGCTCAATCTTGTTTTAACTACTTTACATTAAAAAAAGATATTTTTTCAGTTTTTGTCTAATAATTCAGAGCCATTCCATTCNAAAATGAATCACCCAATCGTGTTTTAACTACTTTACATAAAAAAAAGATACATTTTCACAGTTTTTGGCCAAAATTCAGAGCCGTTCACTTGATTCTTCTTCTATTTTTTCCCTAGTCTCGACTGTTTCCAAGTATTACAATTTAAAAAGTGAAATAAAATAAAATAAACCACTCAATCTTGTTTTAACTACTTTACATTAAAAAAAGCTATTTTTTCAGTTTTTGACCAATAATTTAGAGCCCTTCGCTTGATTCTTCTTCTATTTTTTCCCTAGTCTCGACTGTTTCCAAGTATTACAATTTAAAAAGTGAAATAAAATAAAATAAACCACTCAATCTTGTTTTAACTACTTTACATTAAAAAAAGCTATTTTTTCAGTTTTTGACCAATAATTTAGAGCCCTTCGCTTGATTCTTCTTCTATTTTTTCATTTGCCCCAACTGTTTCCAAGTACTACAAATCAAAAACCAAAATTAAATAAATCATTCAATCTTGTTTTAATTATTTTACTTAAGAAAATACTTTTTTTTTACAGTTTTCAGCTATTAATTCAGAGCCATTCACTTGATTCTTATTCTATTTTTTCACTTCAATTAAATAGTTTTTATTGAGAATTCCACCAATAATGACTTTCTCAAAACTAGAATCAGGAAAAAAAAAATTGTTCTAGCAATTTTCAAAATGATGCTGCATAAAACTCAAGATTAGATAATATCTATTATACTTTATTTAAAAAAAGAGATTTTTTCGGAGTTCTTGGCTATTAATTCAGTCAGAACCATTCACTTGCTTCTTCTTCTCTTTTTTTAACTTTGTCTCGACTGTTTCCAAGTACTACAAATTAAAAAACGAAATTAAATCAAATAAATCTCACAATATGGTTTTAACTTCTTTACTTAAAAAAAGACATTTTTTTCCACTGTTCTCGGCTAACAACTCAGAACCATTCACTTCAATTAAATAGAGTTTCTTTTGAAAATTCCACCAATAATCACTTTCTCAAAACTAGAATTAGGAAAAGATTTTAATTGTTCTAGCAATTTTCAAAACGATGCTGCATGTACAACTCATGATTATATAATTTCTTTATACTTTACTTACTTTTTTAACTGGCAGTCATGCTTTTTTTCCCCATAATTGTTCATAATGTAGAAAAGTAACAGTACAAAGTAAATTGAAATTTACACTGAAATTATATAGTAAATTATATAGTAGAATATATACAACAAATAGAAAAATACATTAACATAATTTATAAGAAATAATAATTGAAGTAATGACATAATATAAAAATAAAACGTAATAGGAAAGAAGAGAGAATAATGCTTTATTAAAATTTACAAAATTATGTAAAGTAGTTTGGATACATATCATTTTCATAATACTCAATTCATGTTGTGATTTGTAAAGTAATTCATTTTTTACATGAAATAGCAATTAACATACAAAATTTACATATATGTATTATGCTTTATTGAATTGATCTCTTATTTTAGACTTACCACATTTTCAGGATTTAGGATTTTGTCTAATTTAATACTATCATACAAACTCTTCAGGAATTTGCAATTCTGCAAAATGTTGTTTTCTAAACATGTTGTAGGATTTACAGTGGAAAATTCTATGGGTCATCAAATCTTCATGACTTTCGATACAGACAAATCAACGGGGACCAGGGTATAGTTCTTCAATTTTACAGGATGAACTTGTTAGGTGGCTTGGGAAACTTTTTGTTTGCTGTTCTGACTTGACATATAAATTTTGTTATTCCAAATGGGACATTGAGGTTAATTTATGAAACTGAAAGTTGGAGTTATATATATGTCTGATATTGGTATTGAATCTGCAGTTAAACAGTCAGTATTTATTTAATAATTGGTTTTTCATAGACTCTATCAATGTATTTTTGTGTTTTGTCAATACTGCAACTTCTTGCCAAAATCTCTGCGCCCCAATCATGGTCAAACTATTAAACAAATACCTCCAATTGTAAGGCATTTTACTGTTTAAAATTCCATCATTTAACTTTTGATAACAATTTTGGCAACCTGTCATTTTCAAAAATGACTTGTGATTTCCTGTTGAGGTCTGCAGGGTCGTTTGGTAGTTTATGATCTGCCTACCCTTGCTGTTTTGGTCTGCCAGGCACTTTTCGGTTGAATCAGTTTTTTCCCCACATGTTTCAATAAAAATTAGATCAACTTTTGATTTACAAACCATTAAATTTTATGCATTTCAAGGCATTGTTCACCTTGAAAGGAATGACTAATAACTTGAACTGAAGTGTCTTGAGTGTTGAGTCTTGAAAAGTTACTTGAATGATTTAAAAGTTGATCATCTCGGTTGATCTGAAGGTTCTCACGACAGATTTAATCAACTTTAGTGTTAATTTGTTAAAAGCTTCTATTGCTGTTTGTAATTGGTTATTTATTTTTATTTTTATTGCAGTCACTTTTAAAAACGGCCGACCAGTTGAAAATAAAAGGTCTGTGTGAAGTCCCTGATGGGAAGGAAGGCGCCGAGGTGACGCCGTTGCCGCATAACACTTCCAGAAGGGGTCTTTCACTCCGCCAAAGACGTTTGGCCACTGCAAAGCGCCGGCTTCAATACCGAGAACGCCTGAACCATTCCAACCAGTCGAATCTAAGCCAGGTGTGTACCACGTTTAAATATTAAACTTTTCAAAATAGCCACACGGGGTAACTTGGATTTTTCAAGATGGATTGCATGGATGTCGGTACGGTTATGGAGGACTCGAAGGAACTGCCCTCGCTGGTCGTCGTTGACCCTAGCCAGGCATCACTGGCCGACCAGGGGATGATCCTGGCCTCCAGCCCGAGGCAATTAATGCAACCCTCACACAACAATATCCAGCAATCTCAGGTTGGGGGAAAAAATCCTCTAAATTCGTAGAAACACAAAAATTCAAATGAAATTTATTATGGGAACATTTTTGAAGTTTGTTATTATCGTGTTATTTTATTGCTAGGTTCCAGTGGAAAACGGTGGAAATGATGAAAATATGGCTGAAATGGGACGAGTACCGACACCTCCGTCAACTTTAGTCCCGACATTGGAAATACAACAATCCGAAACTCACAGAGACGTTGCAGGTAAAGCAAAAATTAAAGTCTTAAAATCATGGTTGGACCAAGGATTTGTCTTATCCTTTCACATTCATTAATTTTAATAGACAGTGTCATCAATTACTATTTGTGAAATTTTTTTATGCCAATAACAAATTGACATATTAATATTATGAATTATAATAACTATTGTATATTGTAACAAAGGCATTAAAAAATATATATCGTTTGTTTACAGTGGATTCTAGCGATTTAGGAGTTGTGGATAATAATGTAAAAGTCAAATTTGAAACTTTGCGAGCGATCGAACAAGATCCCTTAGACATGGAACAGATAACGGATCAAGTTAGTGTCGCATTTTATTAATTTAGTTTATTACATGACAGAATTGTTCATGTTTATTTTTTCAGACGGTTCAAACAAACGATGACGACCATGGCATGCACACTATGATGATCACACCGGAACTACTCGGCCTCATACCTTCATCGAATTCAGGTTTGTACAAAGCAGAAAAAAAATTAAAAACAAATTAAATTTTTTTTGTCATTGCAGATGGAAGTGAGGCTGGAAGCACCAATGCCAAAAATGGAATCGGTTGTTCCAGTACAAAAACATGGACGCAAGAGGACATGGGAGCCGCTCTGGACGCTTTAAGAAACCAGACGATGTCGTTGAGCAAAGCCTCGTTACATTTTGGCATCCCTTCGACTACTCTGTGGCAAAGGGCGCACAGGCTGGGAATCGACACACCGAAAAAAGACGGGCCTACAAAATCCTGGTCCGAAGATAGTCTCAACACGGCATTGGACGCTCTCAGGACTGGATCTATATCGGCCAACAAAGCCAGCAAAGCTTACGGTAAGACTTTGATTTATTTTAAGTTTTTTCTTCATTGAGTAAAATTTTTGTTTGCTTTAAAGGTATACCGAGCAGTACGCTTTATAAAATTGCAAGAAGGGAAGGGATTAGACTTGCCGCTCCGTTCAACGCCGTTCCGACAGCATGGGTTCCAGAAGATTTAGAAAGGGCTCTCGAGGCGATTCGATCAGGACAGTTTACCGTTCAACGGGCAGCTACAGAGTTTGGAATCCCTTCTGGTACGTTGTACGGGAGGTGTAAACGAGAAGGAATAGAACTATCTCGAAACAACCCGACACCTTGGTCGGAAGATGCCATGCTCGATGCTTTAGAAGCTGTTCGGTAAGTAAAATTTAATTTATTTATTTATTACAAATTTTTAATTAAAATTTTTAAAATCAGAAATGGCCAGATGAGCATAAACCAGGCGGCGATACACTACAACTTACCTTACTCTTCGCTCTACGGCCGTTTCAAACGTTGTAAATACGAGGCGGAGGGTCTTAGTTCGGGCGGGGAGATGGAAAACGATCAGCCCATGATACACCAGCAGCAACAGTCCCAAACGCAGCAACCGCAGACGCAGTCGCAAGCTCAATCGCAGCCCCAGGCTCAACCTCCACAGGCTCAGACTCAGCAACCGCAGGCTCAGCCGCAGATAATGCTCGTACAGTACCAACAACCGCTGCAGATGTATCAATCGGCCACATGAGTATTGCAGCCTGCGGCGCATTTGTATATATCTTAGGGAATGTGCGCCCTGGGCGGTAAACAAGAAAAATAAGGAAAAAAAAGAAAAAAAAAGAAAGAAAAAAGGAGTTTCTGTGGGAATAACAACTTGATTAATTTGATGTTTTTATTTATTAAAATTATTTGCGTTTTTATTGTTTATTGTTTAAAATTTGTAGTTTCTTTTATAAGAGAAGGTTTAGCAATTATTATAAATTTAAAATAATTTCAGAAATTCGGTTTGAATTGATATATCATTCTAGATTCAAATTTCAAACTCAACAACCAAATGTAATTTTGAAAATGTTTTTTTTTTTTTTTACTATTTTGTGTTTGTTTCACATAGCGGCATATTTTTAAACGATCATATATTAACTTGTAATGATAGTGCTCTCTCAGTAATCCAAATTTCTGCAGGAGAGTATTCGGTACTGAAAAATTTGGATACAGAGGGTGTTAAAAAAATATGTACAATAAAACAAATTTCGACACACTTTATTATTTATTGCAATCACAAAACGTTACACCTAAATTAAAATATACCATTTTTCTAAAAAAAAAATTATATTATTTTTCATTGATCATAATTTTTGATATAATGATTATTTGGAGATTGTGGGATGCGATCTGGTGTCGCTATTAAGAAAAAACTCGTGCCTACGTTTTGATCTTTATTGAGATCATCTTCAGTGCTTAATAAAGATCAAAATGTTGGCACTATAGAGAAAATGTTTTTCTAAACCTACATCACACCAAACTGCATCTCACGATCTCCAAATAATTATTAATTAATGATCTCTAAACACCACACATTTGATATAATTTATATTAATTTTTTTAAACTTCTTAATACATTTTTTTTTGTGAAAAATCATTAAAAAAAATTATTTAACATTTTCTTCATAGCTTCTTTCTCTTTTTCACTCATTTTTAAGCAGTTGGTGAACTTAACACAAGAAAAATAGACTGATCTAACATTTCATTTTTTAGTAGTGAAGGCAGGTGAGGGATTCTCAACAACAGAAGAAATTCTTGAAAATTCGTACTTGTTTTTTTGTATCACCCCTCTCACTCATTCACTCACTAACTGACTGACCCTCACTCTTTCTCTCTATCTCTCTCACTCACTCTCACTTTTTTTTACTTGCTCACTCAACACTCACACTTACCTACTCACTCCCCCTTTCTTTATTTCTTTATGTTACTCTCACTCACTTATTCACTCAACTCTCACACTTACTCTCTCACTAAATCACTCAACTTCTCATTCTCTCTCTCTCTCCCCCACTCTCACCCATTCACTCACTCACTTTCTCAGTTGCTAATTCACTCAACACTCAATTTACTTACTCACTCACTCCCTCCCTCTCTCTCTCCCCCACTCCCACCCATTCACTCACTCACTTTCTCACTTACTAATTCACTCAACACTCAATTTACTAACTCACTTTCTCTCTTCTCTTACTCACTCCCTCCCTCTCTCTCTCTCTCTCTATCACTCTCTCTCTCTCTCTCTCTCATCTCTCATTCACTTACTCTTCTCCCATTCACTCATTAAGTTTCATTTGTTTTCTTTAAAATTCTCACTTCTTGATTTTTTTCCAATTCAGATGACTGAAATGTTCGTAGTACTGAAGTAAAGATTAGTGAGAGAGCGCTGAAAGTTTTATTGTATTTATAAAAAAAAGTTATTGTTCAAATTATCCAATGTTGATGATTTGATTTTAAAATAATATTATTGGTCTGAAGAAACATTTTTATTGGTTTATATCAATATTTAACTTCACTTAAATCAATCTTCAATACTTTGAAATGCCTGCTATTGTTGTTATTTGAATCCATTTAAAAAACTGGAAAATTTTGAGATAGGAACAGAAACCGATGTGTATCGTGTGTAAACTGATCAAAAATAAACTACTTTTTAAACAACCGCTACAAAAATGTAAAGGCAAATTTACGCGTAATATTAAAGAATTGGTATAAAATCGTAAAAAAAATTGATAATTTTAAATTGTTCCACATTCCACTAGTATGATGCCCAAGCAGGTCATTTTTTCCTGATTAAAAAAATCCTAATGATTGACAGTTTAATCGAATGTTTAAATATGTTTTATTAGAATTAAATTTTATTTTACTTTGTGAACGAGCTTCTGCTACTTTAATGAATTTTATTTTTTGGTTTAAAAATCTGAACCTTCATTTTTTAATAAAGCAATGTCATTCCTTCTTTCCCTTGAATCTTGGAAAAAAAATTGAAAAACGAAAAACTGAGTCATATCAAATTTTTAAACTTAAGACTTAATTTTCCATTGATATTTTAAGATATTTAATTATTATACGTTTTTACATTATTATTTAATATTATTTATGTAAAGAGTTTGATAAAAAACAAAAAGTGAAAAGGATATAGAGTTTTATATATTATATATAAATTATTTACAAATATTTACAAAAAAAAGTGAATATATATTTTTATCAATTAGATATTAAGTCCATACAATTTTAGAGTAGAATTTCAAAACAAGAAAAAAGAATTCACAGTTTTAGGTTTTAAATTTAGAAATTGATCATATTAGCTAAATAGTTTTTAGAATTTTTGTTGTGACGTTAGCCAAAGAAAGAGACTCCAATTTTTGTTATTTTCCTTTTCTTATTTTATTTTTCTCCAACGCTCCACGAATCTTGCATTTGAATTAGTCTAGTCAGAAGAAAACATTTATCTATATATATAATAAATTCATTAAAAAATAATGAAAAAAAAAAAAAAAAAGCTATTGCCAAAATATGTATTTTGTTATTTATTGTCGAAGATTTAATATATATATTTAGCGACTAATGTACAAACTATGTTTTCAAAAATTTACGGATTCGTGCAATATAGTTTTAAAATTCATTTTAGCTGTGACATACAAAAGAAATATTGTGTAAACGGAGGGAAAATGTATTAATTATCAAAGTAAATACAATGGATTTATGTATTTAGTGTTTAGGTTTGTTCCCCCTTCATATCTGCCTTAATTTGTGTGTATGAATGTTGTGAATTGTATTTTCAAGACAAAAGGAAGTTACGATTGGAAATATGATCGAAGATGTCGTCATGTTTTGGGCCGATCATTATCAGAAACTAGTAAAACGGCTGCTAGATTAGGAATTCTTGATAAAATCATAAGAGCTATTTATTTGAACAGGAGCAATTTGTTATCAATTGAATTAACTTTATATAATAGAGCAGGCAACATTTATCACTTATTTTCACTATGATAATTCAATAAAAAGTTAAAGTATTTGTTTAAACTGATGACTAATTTATACAGAGTGATTTGCTGCTCGAATGACATTGACATGAAATTTTGTCAGGTGCTTCTGTGCGTCAAATGCAGCAAAGTACGCATCAACCATGGTCCAATTCTCAACCCTTTCTTCTTTTTGCCCTTTTGTTTTTTTTCTTTGTGTTTAGAGTAGATATTTTGTCCAATTTTTCTGCTTTGGTTGTTCGCTATATTTATTGTTTTTGTTTTTTATGTTTTGTTTAATTTATCTTTCTTTTTGTGCTTTGTTATCATGTTAAAGTTGGGAAATAAATTTTGTCCAGGTTAAACAGTTGAAACGTGTACCACAGTCTCCTTTTTTCACACTCACCATTTTTTTTTAAATACCATTTAACATAAAATGTCTGCATTTTGGTTCAATATAATTAAAGAACAATGTATACTGCTAGAAAGTTTATTTAACGAAGAAGTAAAAGAAAAAAAATTGCCTAGCTCTACCACGATTTTTTCCAAGGTTGAAAATTTAATTTTTTTCACAAATTTTAGCAGTTTTTGAAAGATTTTTTAGTTTTTTTTACGAAAAATTAAATTTTAAGTTCTGCAAGGGTGCTTTCTTAAAAGAAATTTAACACTTTTTCAATGGTTTTTTTTTATTTCCCCAAAAATGAATAGCTCAAGAGATATGAGTTTATGATGAAAATCGTAGATAGTTGGAAAAAAAGTTGAATATCTGTGAAAAGGTTGAGAATCAGACTGTGGTTCAAACGAACGTTTTTGTTGCATTTGAGGTGTAGAAAAACCTGACAATTTGTTGTATAAATTGTCATAAGCTCGAATCTGAATTTGCATACATGTGCATACATACACACGTATACAGAGTTGAGCCTATCGCTTCTTGCAGTTCACTGGCAATTTGTAATTTACATGAAATTACCTGCACGTTTCGACAAACACACCAAGGGTGTTGGCAGTCTGGGGTCAGCCCAGGGCTCTGGGGACTATCAACAGCTAGGTTATTTCAATCTTTAAATAACCCATTCACACTCTCTTAAATACATTTTTCCTATTTGAATACAGTTAGAGCAATGGTATGATATTCATCCATCACCATTATATAATTAATTGAGGGTTGATTGGGTACTCAATATTCCACTAATGACCCTTTCGCACTAATAAATACATTCAATCTCAATATATATAAAGAAACATATGACACAGATAAAGTATATATAAAGTAAAACTGTTTCTTCCAAAAATTGGAACAAAGTCCCAAATAATCGCTGCTGAACTCAAGCACAATGTGTATATCGGGTGGTATTCCTACATGCTCTCTATGTGGAGCCAAGGACCCTTCAATTGGGAGGAAACTTTGAGCTTTCTTTTAGTAGTTACATACATGGGCTTTGGCCCAAAAGTAAGTGTCCTTTTTTTTAAACCTTGCACAGCCTATTCTTAATCGGGTGAGGATGAACCTTTTTCTATGAGTCAGATCTTCCGAGGCCACTTTTTGACAGTGTTCTTGATACATGGGAGCTTCTATACTGTTCTAGCCTACCGGTGCTGACTTTCTTTTTAGTTTTAATGTCAGATGGCCAGGTCGTAGTGGTTAGGTCTAGAGGTTAGGATGCCTTAGCCACCTTTGCCTTTTTGTTCCTGAGTACCTAGACAAGAGCCCCCGATTTGGTGAGATGGTCCAGTTCATGGTACCTTTCTAACAAGAACCCAACAGAAAACCAGTCACAGACAGCAGTAACTGGGTTGAGAGAATCGGTGCAAACTAGGTTATGTGCTAATGTAATTGTTATATTCTGCTGTGACTAGGAAATTTAACATTAAATTCAATCCAGACACATTTACATCAACTCATCTTTTTGTACATTTACAAATTGTGTCCTGTACAAATTATATTTATATATACAATTTTATGATGAGGTTTAACTTTATAAAAGAAAAACAATTCTTTTTTTGTTTGTAGATGGGTCATTTCTGATCATTTTCATCTGCCTATCACTGTTTTTCCCTATCAAAAGTGTTTTGGCTCCTCACCATCTTTATTGGTGGGTCTGTGCCCAATGATCGAAAATGACCAAACTACGTATTCATCACTGTCCAAAGTAGTAATTTGTCTATTAATTTTTTTATTTTTTATTATAAACTGCTACCAAGATTGATGCCACTTTTAAGTTGTGTTTAAGTCGAACTGTTTAAATCAAAATTTTGCCTGGAGAAAAATATAATTTTTTTAAAAGTTATTTAAACTTCCATTAATTAAGGTTTTAAGTTGAGATAAAAAAGACAGTGTCACAAGCGGGATTCAAACCCACGACCTTTGGCTTGATACACCACTGATCTACCACTTGAGCTATTGTGACTTTGATCTCCTCAGGCACTAACTTCTGGGGGGGGATCGAAGTCGCGATAGCTCAAGCGGTAGAGTAGCAGCGTATCAAGCCGAAGGTCGTGGGTTCGAATCCTGCTCGAATCCTCCTTAATTAATTGAATGATATTAATTGGTCAAGCGGACTACGAAAAATAGTGGTTATTTATTTTTGTTAGTCGGATGCCTGAGAAACTAGGAAATAAATTAAACCAATTGGAAATATGTTTCTTTTTATTTTTTCATTTGAACAGTTGACAATTTTCTTCCTTAAATATTAATCAATGATACAATTATAAAACATATAAACACAAACAGTGAATATCACAGATATTTATATGATAATGATTTGCTAATAAATTTTTAAATTTTTTTTCCCATATTCACGAGTGCCATTGAGATATGATTAACAAGGGTGTTTGTGCCACTTCTGAATAACCCGATCACCTTTCAGTCGATTTAAAATTTCAGTCGTGAAACTTTGCCCATTAGGAAATTTTATTATGACAATTTTTATGATACAATTTATTAGAAAAAATTCTGATTCTAAAATTCCACCCAATGTTTTACCGATATTGATATTTTTTCCCGGACGGCTTCCAGACTATTTCTCTGTTCCTAGATAATTCAAATCAAAACTAATACCGTATTTGTATAATAAAACTTCTACACACTACAAAAAACGTTAAAACTTTTCTTCAACCCTGATTGGAAGAGCTTTTTATATTTACCTCTCTAACATGGAAGTCTTAATCGTTTTATTATCTAAAATTATTGTTATGGTTTATATCTTACTAGTAATAGTGTGAGACTAGACATTTAGACATTTAGGTATTTCATTGTTATGATTAGTGATAATGACTAAACTACTAGAGTAAAATACCCTTTTGGAAAACTTCTTTTCAAGAAAATCTCGCTAGTTCACCCTCTTGCTCAAATTTCCCCAAACATTATTCTGTATAAGTTCTTTCTATTGTACAATTCAACAAAATCCCATATATGAAAGTCCAATGGAGTTTGCAAAAAAATCTTGTTTTATGGTAAAATTGCATTGGAACCCTTTGAGTTAAAATGATTTAAAATGACAATCTTTAACTGAAAACTTGAAACGATCAGCTAACACAGACTTCTAACAGCTTTCTACACTTCTTCTAATGTCATCGCCAGTACACCCTGAAAAGTCGGCTTGTAATTGTATTTTGAGTAGAAAAGTTGCTTTTGCCATATTCAGGAGACAGTACGCAAAGCTGCTCTTTTTCGACGCAGTGCTGGAAAAAAGACTTTCTCTGTTTTATGTTTCTTCTGGGTCTACGACGACGATTTCGTGCTGGTCGTCGAGCGGTGATGCTCGATCCGACCTGTCCGAAATAGACCTGGAGCAAGATTTCCTCCTCATTTCTCTGGATCTTCGTCTTTTGACGGAATCCGCCGTGTTCGCCCTGGATCTGTATTCAGTGCTGCCTTGGGATGGCGTCTTGGCCATCGACTCTCTTCTCGAGTGGGGCGTCGACCTAGAGATCACAGGCATCATTTCTTCATCCCTCGATAAGTACCTGTTGGTCAACGTTAACTTTCATTACAATTACAAATAACAAACATGTTTTAAAATTGATATTTTTTATTTTACTTTACAACGATCCAGATTTCAAGCATTAAACACTCATCATCAGTTTGAAGGAGTTTCAAAAATATCTCTCGACATGAATTGTAAGAGAGGGCATGTATGTGACTCCTTCAACCTGATGATGAGCATTTAATGCTTGAAATCTTAATCATTGTAAACAACAAATCTGTGAGTAGAACCATCATTTACAAAACGTGAATCGACAACTTCACCCCACCTTCATCATTTCTAAACAAAGGTTAAGTGATTAATCGTCATCGTGATTACTGTTAACTATAGACTTGAGTAAGGCTGTTTGTTTAACTTGAATGTAATTTGGGTGCATTTGTCCTTGTTCAGTTTCATTTTCCACATTTTGCACCATTGTTCTATGAGCTCAATTTGATCCTGGATATTGGAGTTGGCTTGTGGAGGATTAGAGTTAGGAGATAAAATTGCGGTGGAAGGGATGGTGTTGGGAAATACCGGCATGTCGGCGTGCAATGATATATAGGGTGGGACCAAGAATGCTCCCTTGTGAGACGCCGGCCTGGGTCGTCTTGACTCAGAGAACTCATTGCAGAAAACACGAAACCACACAAACCCATGAATATGGCGAAACGCATCTGACACCACAACCCGCGAGAAAAGTCTGAAACGACCACGCTACTGATTCAACAACCCGTAGACGCTAAGAAGAAATTAAATAATGATCAAAGCTTCATAAATCACGTGAAATTATATACATTCTATACCAGAACGGGAGGAATGGGCCAAAGGAACACCGCTAAATGCAAATTCCTGCTGGTATACCGACGGTTCTAAAACCGACAAGGGCACGGGAGCTGGAGTCTTCGGGATGAACCCAAAGACCGAACTGACGGTAAACCTAGGTAAATATGCTACAGTTTTCCAGTCTGAAATTATAGCGATTGAGCAAGGTCCGCCTTGACCGTCACGACGCAACTAATTTTACTACGACCAAGGCATACGTAGTGGAACTATGGGGTTCTGCCAAGCCATCCAACATCCAGTGCATCCAATCCTTCCAAACAAAAGTTATGAGACAAATCGTCAAAGCTCCTCACTATCCCCAACGACCTCAATATTCGTTTTGTCAACGAACTCCACGATTCCAAAAGTCGCTCGATCCACCAGATAGGAATTGCACGAGCCTTTCCTACACATTCCCATCCCGAGAACCGCCACGTGACCTTAATCGATGAGGGTGTCTAAATCTCCTTACCCCTTAATCCCTTACACTGAGTGCCAACATTGGATGGTTTCTGGCATGTGTTCTCATAGGCGCAGCGTATGAATAAATACTCTGACAGTGTAAAAAAGTATACTATCATCAACCCAATGACGATTATGTCCAGAAGGGACAAAGACTTCTGAATACATCACTATGCTATTGTTTTCTACGAGGGTAACACATCCTTGTGAAATGTAGATCTTGATATTTTACCCATGAGAAGAATTCTTTAGTTAATTAAAAAATGGAAATCTTCGAGGACCTTACCGCGGCGACCAGGAGTGTGTGTCGTAGTCGTCGTTTTCGACAGGTCTTTGCCGCACCAGTCTTCTAGAGTCGATCCTCCTCGTCCGGTCCCTCACTCGCAGGGTGACGGGACATTCCAGGTGGAGGTCCATCGCCATTGAGACTTGCGATCCTCTTCCCATCGCGGCTGCCAGTTCCAGGCTCTGCCGGCTCCCGCCTCTGCCGGTCGGCGAGAAGCAGGCTCCGTAGTCCGGGTTATCTACGCTCAGGGCCTGCCTCTGCAGGAGATAATGCGGGCTGAGGAGGGCGCAGGAAGTCGGCAAGAGTCGAGGCGGAGGCTGGGCCACGAGGTCGGGGGCCGAAGGGCTTTTGTTCAAGCCCGAGACCTGAGGTCTTGAGCCGAGCTCCCTGGAGAACTGGACGAAAGCCGCCGTCAGAGCTCTCCTGGATATCTGGTCACTCGGTGCCGGGGACGCCCTGCCTTCCCATTTCGTTTGGCAGGACGTGGACCTCCTGCTGTCCCCACCGGACCGCACGCTCCCCTGCATCCTCGAGGATTTGTTGCGGGCCGGGTAAGAACTCGGCTGCCTCGTCCTCGGCGTCGGCACCACCTTCGCTGCCGAGTCACGCGCCTCGAACGTCATAACGCAAGCCGCTACAACAATAAAACCTACAACAAAACAACAGTTTTTAACAATCTTAAACATAAATCAAGAACAATATTAAATACATTAAATTTAATTTACATTTAACATTCGTTTACAACAGCATTTTATTATGGTTCTATCGATACTACAGTAAGTATTGAAAGTTCAGTTACTGGGTTGGTGCAAAATTAATGCAGGTTTTGAGATTTTTTTATTTTCATATGTGCTTGTCACATAAATAAGCTAAGTCCTCAAATCTAATTTATGGTTAAGTGTCTGGGAGTTTTTTGGTGGTTCAGTTGGCCGAGTGCAGCGGTTTGTCTATAGCCAAGTCGGCTATGTTGAGAAGGCGAGTTCAAGGCTAACGCTGAGAGTCCCCTTGCCATTGTCGTAGGTGCTTCATTAGTGATAAGAGATGTCAGATATCATTGGTGGGACCTCGTCGGGTAGACGAGTCTCGAGGTGATAAGTGAGATCTCTTCGAGTAGACGAGTCTGAAGCCAGTGGGGCACTGCTCCTGCTTACATACTCACTGGCTCTGCTCTGATTGCTGCAGAGTGAAGGGCGAGACTATTACAGAACCGGTAGTGACACCTAGCACCTAGTAACTGTAGGTGGCCCACAGAAGCATTAGCGAATGCACGGTGCAGCGATGGTTTCAGAGATTTCGTCTCGGTCGATCTCGAAGACAGGGAAGGTCGCAGTAGGACGACCACCACAAACTCAAAACTTTGATTGAAGAAAGTTCAACGCGGAAAATTGCGGAAGAGCTTAGTGCTGACCACCCAACCGTTGTTCGCCATCTGGAGCAAATTGGAAAAGTGAAGAAGGTCGACAATTCGGTACCGCACGATCTATCTAGAAATCGGAGTTTTGAAATTTGCACGTCTCTTCTGTAGCGCCACCAAAATTATCCATTTCGCGATAACAGGAAGCATACAGGTCAGTGGTTGGACAAGGATGAAGCGCCAAAACATTTCCCGAAAGGATCCGCACCCAAAAAAGGTTATGGCGGTGTACTGCTGAGGTTGTTCAGTATAATTTCCTGAATTATGGTGAAACTATCACAGTAGAGAAATATTGCCAAGAAATTAACAAAATGCACGGGAAATGCAACGTCCTTGTCCAGCATTGGTAAAGCGTAAGGGGCACATTCTTCTTCACGTAACGCCAGGGCACATGTCGCAATGCCAACCCTGCATAACTCAAGGACTTAGGGTATGAAATCTAACTGCACACTCCATATTCACTCGGCGAACACAATTCCACTTTTTTAAGGCATTTTGATCACTTCTTGGGGGATACAATCATTAAAGAACGCGGTGAAGCCGAAAACGCCTTCTAAGACTTTATTGTGAGTCTAAATAAAGATTTTTATGTCAGTGGAATAAAAGCGCTTATTACACTTTGGCTAAGAAGTATAGACTGTGATGGAAAATATTTCGAATAAATTTTCTGTATTTTATGAAAATTAAAAATAGTTTTGACTGCCTTTCCAAAACGTGCATTTCTTTTTGGACCAGCCCGATAGACCTGGACAGTAGATGTGATGTAGATCGAGTGAATAGGAGGAAAATGGGAGAAGATATAGTTTGTTGTGAAAACAGTCGATATTTAAATAGAAAGTATAGGTAGATCTGGGGGATAAGGAGATATGTAACACATAGAGAAAGTTGTAAGTAGGTTAGCAGGTTTGCTATAAATTGCTTATTCTAAATGAAAACATCTCATAAAATTATACAAATAAATCTCGCTTCATGTTCACCGACAATCTTATCATTTTGAATGATTGTAGGAAAAAACCGGTCTCGTGTTGACAATCCCCCTGCCGTGGGATAATGACCGTTTTTGCCGGCCATTACGGCAAACCTACCATCCTGTAAAAGGCGATAATTTATTTAATGAAGGCAATTTATTTCCAACGCAGATTCAAATTGTTAACTCCAAAATAATCTCATTAGCAGGAAGAACAAACAAAACAATAATAATATGGTCCTGTTTCCTCCAAGTCAATGGTGGAATATGAGTTCCCGATCGACACTCGAATTACACGCTCACACTAATAAATAAATTCTATTTCAATAAACACAAAACAAGATACCTACTAGTACCATTTACAATAAAACAGTCCTGATTCTTCCAAGATCGATGGTAGAGATTTGAATACCCGATGGATACTCTCCATTACACATTCACGCTAATAAATACATTCTAGCTCAATAAACACAAAACAATATACCTACTAGTAATATTTACAATAAAACAGTCCTGATTCCTCTAAGATCGATGGTAGAGATTTGAATACCCGATGGATACTCTCCATTACACATTCACGCTAATAAATACATTCTAGCTCAATAAACACAAAACAATATACCTACTAGTAATATTTACAATAAAACAGTCCTGATTCCTCCAAGGTCGATGGTAGAGATTTGAATACCCGATGGATACTCTCGCATTACACATTCACGCTAATAAATACATTCTAGCTCAATAAACACAAAATGAGATACTTGGTAATACTATGCAGAATAAAACAGTCCTGTTTCCTCCAAGGTCGATGGTGGAGATTTGAGTATACGATCGGCACTCTCTCATTACACATTCACACTAATAAATACATTCTAGCTCAATAAACACAAAACGAGATACCTTCTAGTACTATTTCCAATAAAACCGTCCTGATTCCTCCAAGGTCGATGGTAGAGATTTGAATACCCGATGGACACTTTCGCATAACACATTCACGCTAATAAATACATTCTAGCTCAATAAACACAAAATGAGATACTTGGTAATACTATGCAGAATAAAACAGTCCTGTTTCCTCCAAGGTCGATGGTGGAGATTTGAGTATACGATCGGCACTCTCTCATTACACATTCAAACTAATAAATACATTCTAGCTCAATAAACACAAAACAATATACCTACTAGTAATATTTACAATAAAACAGTCCTGATTCCTCCAAGGTCGATGGTAGAGATTTGAATACCCGATGGATACTCTCGCATTTCACATTCACGCTAATAAATACCTTCTAGCTCAATAAACACAAAATGAGATACTTGGTAATACTATGCAGAATAAAACAGTCCTGATTCCTCCAAGGTCGATGGTGGAAATTTGAGTATACGATCGACACACTCTCACATTACACATTCACACTAATAAATACATTCTAGCTCAATAAACACAAAACAATATACCTACTAGTAATATTTACAATAAAACAGTCCTGATTCCTCCAAAGTCGTTGGTGGAATATTGACTACCCCATAGATCCTTTCGCATTACCCATTCACTCTAATAAATACATTCTATCTCAATAAACACAAAATGAGATACTTGGTAATACTATGCAGAATAAAACAGCCCTGTTTACTCCAAGGTCGATGGTGGAGATTTGCATACCCGATCAACACTCTCGCATTACACATTCACTAATGAATACATTCTAGCCCAAGTACATTACCTACAGTAACACGAGATTCTTAGCAATACTATGTAGAATAAAACAATCCTGAATCCTCCAAGGACGATGGTGAAGATTTGAGTACCCGATCGACATTCGCATTACACATTCACGCTAATAAATACATTCTAGCTCAATAAACACAAAATGAGATACTTGGTAATACTATGTACAATAAAACAGTTCTGATTTCTCCAAGGTCGATGGTGGAGATATGAATTTCCGATCGACACTCTCGCATTACACATTCCCGCTAATAAATACATTCTAGCTCATTAAACACAAAACGATATACCTGCGAGTATTAGTTCTATGTACAATAAAACAGTCCTGATTCTTCCAAGGACGATGGTGAAGATTTGAGTACCCGATCGACACTCTCGCATTACACATTCACGCTAATAAATACATTCTATCTCAATAAACACAAAATGAGTACTTGGTAATACTATGCAGAATAAAACAGTCCTGTTTCCTCCAAGGTCGATGGTGGAGATTTGCATATCCGATGGACACTCTCGCATTACACATTCACGCTAATAAATACATTCTATCTCCATAAATGCAAAACGAGATACCTACTAGTACTATTTACAATAAAACCGTCCTGTTTCCTCCAAAGTCGTTGGTGGAACATTGACTACCTCATAGATTCTTTCGCATTACCCATTCACCCTAATAAATACATTCTACCTATTGAGATCAATGAACACAAATCGAGATATCTATCAGTACTGTGTACAATATAACAGCCCGGTCTCCTCCAGGTTGCTGGTCGAATATTGAATACCCCCATAGACTCTCCCGCACGACACATTCACGCTAATAAATTCATTCGATTCAATAAACACATTACGAGATAACATTTAATTCTAGCTACAATAAAAAACCTTTTAGTTAAAAAATTGTTAAAAGGAAGACCGAATCTGATCAAGAACACGTCTGGTGGTGTTCCCCTACACGCTTTCTATACAGAACCAAGGAATGACACCCTTTGCTAGTAAATTAATTAATTTAAATGTATAATTAGCATTTAATATTGGTTGTTCTTGTTCGTTTCTTACAATGTGATTACGGCGGTTGGTTAAATTTCAACGTCGGTTGAAAGTCTGGATGGTAAATGCTAAAATTCAACCTCTGTAAAAACAACCCACCCCTTTTCACAGCCCAATCCAATGTTTTTTTTCTTTTTGTCTGGAAATAGTGATTAATAGTCAATTCGAACGGTGTAAATAAATAATTCACGGAGACAGATGAAAGTCAATCTGTATTTTGTTTTTCCCGTAGAATCGGCGAAATGAGTTCCATCATTATTGATGACGAGGATCAGTACTTCAATTTAAACCAGTCTTTTTATTGATATTCCGAAGCCTCGGTTAATGTTTAACTTTTATTTTATTAGGCAGGAAACGGAGCCCTAGGGGGAACAAAACTTTCTAAATGAATACATTTCTAAACCACAGCGATTAATTATTTCTCGGGTTTTTGGGGAATTATTCTTGACAGCTTGACGGAGGGGGGTACGGTTATTAGTCATTAAAGTCTAAAAGCCAGTGTTATTTTCCCATTAATAAAAAATCCTCTTGATATCAGGTGATGATGCCACCTCGTCTTCAACGCCCGATTAGTTAACGATCAATCACAAAAAAAAACGACCACCTGATCAGCGATAATTATCTATTTGACATTTTCTTTGGTGAGTAACTGCAGCTCAGTTAAAGGAAAATTGGTTCAAAGGAGAGCTTTTTGGGCTGACTTTTCTTCTTATTTTCTGTCCTTTTCTCTTTACACTCGTTCATCATGTTTCATTTATTCTTTATTGTAGAATTAAAGTAAATTCTGAAATCATCCTGACATTTTTAAATATTCCACCCTTTGATTATTCGGAGAACGTGAGATGCGGTCTGGTAGGTTTTAGAAAAACATTTTCTTTGTCGTGCCAACGTTTCGATTTTTATTGAGATCATCTTCAGGCCCCAAAGTGTTTGTTTTCTGCGTAGTTGTGTCATTCATGTGCGTTGGATTGTAGTTGTGTCTCGACACACAAGAGTGACACAACTACGCAGAAAACAAACACTTTGAGCCCTGAAGATGATCTCAATAAAGGTCGAAACGTTGGCACGATAAAGAAGATGTTTTTCTAAAACCTACGTCACACCAGAGCGCTTCTCACGATCTCCCAATAGTCATTAACTAACGGTCACTTAACACCATTATTATTTTATTATAATTGGCATTATTTTCTGTTTAATATACTATTTATCAAAAGAAACAGAAATAAAGACAAAATAAAGGCGGTAATGTTCTAGTATGAAGTGGGTTAGTTTCTATGTATTATATATTTTCTTTTTAATCTAAAAAGTGTCTTCGATCCGTATGCAAATAAAATAAAGGGTCAAGAAAAAGTGATAAAAAGGGTTGATATTTTAAAAATTACACTTCACAAAATCGTAGGAGGAAAACAAAAAACTCTACCTTTCCACCTCATTCCTCCAAAGCTAAAAAAAGCTTTTCATTCTCAATTTTTAAATTTTGTCGTTGAAATGTTTAAAAGAAAGACTTCCTCTTGGAGGAATTTTTCCAGGGGATTTAGAAGCCTCTTCCAGTAGAGATTAAACACCTTAAACCCAAGGACCCGTTAATCCTGCTGGGAGGATTAGCACAAGGTTTATTTCGCTTTTAGCAGTGCCAAGTACCTCCAACTCCCATGACGATCGGTCCTGCGTACGAGAGGTTGTTGAGGTGAAAACCCCTCGCTTCGTGTTTTATCCTGACAGTCGTGTTTCCTCTCATTTCCTGGCCGACCGACAGCTGATCCGCGTAGTAGCCTGAAAAAAAGCAAAATTTTCTATCTTAAATCAATCATATCAAATTTGATAAAATACTGGTTAAATTATGACGCTATCTTCAGGAGGAATAGTCGAGGCATCGACAAGAACGCTTAAATCCGAAACGTGCCTGATAATCGAAAAGAACGAGAAGATACAGACAAAAGAGATAGTAAAAGACCAAATTAGAAGCGTGTCATGCCTTGGCTCCATTCAGAGAGCGTGTAGTCATGCCGCCGGATTTAAGAATGGTTTTCGGACAAGGTAGCGAGTTTCAGGATACCCTGTTCCGCCTTTTGGGGGAATTGGGAATTTTTTATTCTATATAGAAGTTATGTGTTTTATGTTTCTGCGTCTTGTATGAGTAAATGTATTTATTGGGGTGAATGGGGGGGGGGGGCTGATGGCGAAGTAGCTTGTCCATCGCCTTTCAGGATGTGGTTATGGCTTGGGCTGATGGCGGAAATTTTATAAAAATACCCCATAGTTTATTAAAGGGAACAGGTAGATGGAGGAATATCGAGTACTCCATCTACCAGACAGAATGAGTGCTGTCAATGTATGTTGGTGTGAATGGGGAGGGGTTGATGGCCATCGCCCCTCATGTTGCGTGCGTGACTTGGGTCTACGGCGGAAAACTTTTAAAGTACCCCATCGGCCCCAAATTAGATTAGTTTATTGTAGTGAACAGGTAGATGGAGGAATATCGAGTACTCCATCTACCAAACAATATGAGTGCGAACATGTATATAGGTATGAATATTATTGGTGTGATTGTGCATAGAGTGTGTAGCGGTATTTTGTTAGTGCTTCGGGGCTGAAATGACCAAGCTGTCGAATGCCCCTGTCAAAAAAAGACCAAATTACAGGTTCAGCGCCGCACATACCTAAAAATTGGCTGTTACCAATGTTCTTGTACAACAAGCAATGTAAAACCTTGGTTCATTCTCTCCTCCCCCTCAAACTTTCCGTCCTTTTGAAGTTAACTAATTACACCAATTCGCAAGTAGAAAAATCCAATGGACATGACCTAATTACCTCCACTGTACTTCTACGCAGTCCTACGTACCTCTTATGGAAATATTCTGTCGTCATTCTAACTCCTAAAGCTCACAAACATCTTAATCAATATCCTTCTAAAGAGCCATCAGCCTTCGTCCCGTAATGTCCAAAATTCTCAAAAGACTCCATTTAAGACGTTTAAAACCCATCCTAGATTCACATAAAACCATCCCTTCTCATAGATTAGGATGGCGTCCCCATCCGAACCCAGAAACTTTAGAGAACAAGAGTGTTGTTTGGATGCGAATGGCTCAGGAAACTTGGGAGTGACCATACAAGCCGGCGTTTTACAAGGGAGCATTTTTGGTCATATCCTTCATGCCTTTGTACCGCCGAATTTCATATACACCCCAACATCATCTATGCGGAAATTTTGTCTTCTTACACGAATCTTATCCAAACAAATCTTCCAACATCCAAGAGCTCCTTCCTTGATCTTATTAAAGATGGATGCAAAAATTGAAGGACACGATTCATTGTACTTAACAATAAGGAGTTACCAAGTTCTACTCAAGTCAGGTACTTAGGACAGCAGACTGTCGAACCTACACAAGACTTAAAAGACAACAACTTAAAAAAGACTTGGACAGCTACGAAGGCGTTTAGGAACGAATTTCTTTTCTTCCCTCCTTCTTTTTCTTGAGAAGGAAATTTTTGAAATTTTCTTTCTTCAGGATGATCCCAAAAGCCGACAAACCTAATCACCTTCCTAACACCTATCGACCCATTAGTCTTTTCTCCATTATTGGCAAAATACTGGAAAAGCTCCTATTGTTCCGCCTGCCCAAGCAAATTCCAACTAACACAATTCCTCATCACCAATTCAGCTTTCGGAGTTGCCTCTCGACTGTCCAACATGCTCATCGTATAGGAGACGTAATTCCCACCTCCATCGGGCCCTCTGGATTATTGCGGAAGCTTAAGAACATCCTACCAGCAACCTTAACCTAAATCCTGCCTTAACGATCATTACTTCCAAGTACCCCACAAAACTTCTTTATCTCCTATCCAACCTATTCCAGTAGGCGTCCCATAGGGCAGTGTCCTCGCTCCTCTGCTTTACTCAATTAATACCTCCGACCTACCTGCACAACCGAACACTATAACCCTCACGTTTGCCGATGATAGGGCTATCCTTTCTCCTGACGAAGATCCCGTCACGACTTCCCGTTATTTCCAAAATCACTTGCTTATCCTTGAATCCTGGCTTCGAAAATGGAAAACCAAGGATAACGAAACTAGATCAACATATTCACTCTAAACAAGGAAACGCCCCAATCAGTATACCTCAACCACGTTCCCATCCCGGCTGCGATACCTCACACTCTATCTGGAAAAACGACTGACATGGACTCCCACAAGGGGACAGACTGTAACATACAATTTATCATGCTAAAACTATTCGACAGGCGATTTAAACTTTCACTGACAAACAAAAGAAAACTTTACATTGCTCTTCATTTGGACGTACGGACTTGAACTCTACGGGACTGATAATAACCGAATCCAATCCCTCCAATCTAAAATCTTCAGAGCATCCATACCGACCTAAGTGCTCTTCTTGTTACTCATTTTGCCTAATCCAGCTAGGAAAGGTACCATTCCAAAGTATCCCACCATCCGAAACCTTTCGTCAAAAACCTGCCTTCTACTACTTTACCTAACAATCGTCACATGAGACTGAAACGTCGGTGGCCCCGCGAGAACCTTACTACTTGACTTCGGTCTCCTAGGATGGAGCACATCCCGCTCATCATGTTGATGCTATAACGGTTTCCATCAGTGGATGGTTGCTGTTCACGTTTCCATTACTGCGACCAATTTGGACAGTGGTACTATATCCGCTAAAGCAACCAATATCCAACGCATCCGATTCTTCCAATCGAAACGCCTGTGTCAAATTGTCAAAAATCCTTACTATGTCACTAACCTCACTCTTTACAACGACTTCAACATTGTCAGAGGTGATCCGATCTCGTATGCCAAAGTCCCTCATCAAACTTTCAATCCATCCTAACCCTACTGCTCAATCCTTATCCTCATTTTTCCATACAGAGAACCCGCCACGTCGCCTTAAACGGCGGTAGCTTTAAAACCTCCTGGCCGGGTCCTCTAATCGGATCCTTTAGCTGGTTTCTCCAATGGTTCGTTAAATATTTCAGTGATTCTGGCGATTTTGAAAATTCTACAACAAATTCAATAGACGTCAAGCTACCTCCATGACATGTATCGGGTTGTCCGGAAAATAATGCAGGATTTTAAGTTTTCATTAAAAAAAATCTATATAAAATATTCTGTTTACGTTTACAGGATTACTCATTTGTATGAATGTCAACACTTATTAATCCTCTTCCAAATGATATTGTTTGTTTACCTCTGTAGCATTCCGCTACTTGGAAATAATTCAGTCATCCTTATAATGTCAAAGCGAGAATTTCGTACGATTTTCTTTTACGAGTTTAAACTCGGCCGAAGCGGAGCCCAAACGGCTAGAAACATTAACCAAGTCTGGGGCGAGGGTTGTGTTAATGAGTGCACTGTGCAAAGGTGGTTTAAAAAATTTCGGGAGGGAGATTTCAGCCTTGAAGATGAAGAAGGTCGTTGAAGGCCTTCCTCTCTTAATGATGATGTTCTGCGATCAGTGGTGGAAGAAAACCCCAAAACAACTGTTCGAGAACTTGCAGAGCAACTCAAAGTCAGTAAAACGACCGTCGCTGACCACCTCAAGGCGATTGGAAAAGTGAAAAAACTCGAAAATTGGGTTCCACACTCATTAAACGATCGCCAAAAAAATCAGCGCTTTGATGTTTGTGCATCACTTCTTTGTCGAAACAAAAATGACCCATTTCTGGCCAGAATTGTTACATGTGACGAAAAGTGGATTCTCTACGATAACACTAGACGTTCTGGACAGTGGCTCGACAAAGGAGAAGCTCCAATACATTTTCCAAAGCCCCAACTCATCAAAAAAAGGTAATGGTTACGGTATGGTGGGCTTCATTTGGTTTAATACACTACAGCTTCTTAAATCCTGGCGAAACCATCAATGCTGAATCATACTGTAACCAAATTAATACCATGCATCAGAAATTGGCAGTAATGAAGCCCTCTTTGGTCAATCGGAAAGGGCCCATTTTGTTGCATGACAACGCTCGACCACATGTGTCACGTGTAACGTCACAAAAATTATTGGAGCTTGGCTATGAAACTTTGCCTCACCCACCCTACTCTCCGGACCTCTCGCCTACTGACTACCATTTTTTTAGACACCTGGACCACTACTTACAACACATAATATTCAAAAATCAAACGGAACTGGAAAATGCATTTATTGACTTTATCAATTCTAAAAATTCTGAATTCTACTCAGACGGAATTAATAAGTTACCAACACGTTGGGAGAAATGTATTGAGAGTATGGGAAATTATTTTGATTAAAGAACATTGCTTTAAAGTAACTAGTTTCTTTTTTTTTGTTTAATACCAAAATCCTGCATTATTTTCCGGACAACCCAATATCATGAAGTGATGAGATTGATCAGTGATGATCGTACTCTTTTCGTGATCAACTTGTTTTATATGTTTGATAGAATGTAAAACCGTAAAAATATTGAATTTGAACACAAAATTAAATAAATTTTTGCAGGTTGTCTTCTTTCATTGGTCATGATAAACATGATCAGCTATGATTGTTTAATTAATACGAGGGTTTATTCTAAAGGACTTGTGCTCAAGAGTCAATGAAAACACGATGATCTTCCTCACTGAAAATCTATCCAAGTCCCCCCTGTTATTAAGTACTTAGGCCTTTGTGATTATAGAACGGCTTGGATTATTGATGGGACAACTTGGGCCCACCCTAAGAGAGAATTACAGGATAAATGATTGAACCGAGCCGATTTGTCGTTCGGAGGGGGTTAAGTTTGGATTCAATCGGGAAGTTTCGACGTCGAAAACTTTTCCTGGAACAAATTGACTTGCGGGTTTGCTCTTCCCGCCTGGCCAGTTCGTTCGCCCGATGGAAAACCCAATATCGCGTTGACCTCTCAACAGCAAAATCACAAAGAAAGAAAAAGAACCGTAATTTTTGCGAGAGAAAAAGCCGAAAGGGTTCTGATCTCGGTTGACACCGAAAAAAATGAAAACGGCCGTTTTTCAACAGTTTTACACAGTCGGACTTCACTTTCACAAGGGTAATATTTAAAGAAACGCCTCGGCTAGTCCTCGTATGATTTATACAGAAACTGTTCTCTTGGAAACGTTCTTGTAACTCGCTATGCTTAAGTGAATTATGTACAAAGTTTCGCATGGTCTCCTCGGCCCCTGGATCGATAAGTTCACGGAGAAAGGGACTTAATTAGTCGTTTCTTGCCAGTTTTACCATCTCCTCGGAGTGATCTTGAGTTTAATTAGGAAGAAGTTGGAACGGCTTTGTGCCGCTTATTACCCGTCGCTGCGTCTTCGGCCTACTTAAGAAATCTCGAAGAAACCGTTGTGAATTTACTACAAACTCCAGAGAAGCCGGTTATGCGATTAATGTCTTTACCGTGTTGAGACCACGGACGAAAACGGAAAAATTCCAGGATAGCTTCGAAGCCCGAGTGTCCTGAATGAGTCGGTTCATTGTTCAAATATTTTAGAACAAATGTATTAAAAGGAATTTTATATTTATATATATGTATATATTTGTAGCCTATACAGATTTGTATATATTACAAAGGTGAACACTGTACGTTCTTATCATATGGATACAGCAGTAACACTGATGCCAGCATTGAACCCGAAACTCACGCTACGAGAAGCCAGCCAAAGCTGGCACTCAGGGTGAGGGATTAAGGGGCAAGGAGGTCTCGAGGCCATCGTCGATTAAGGGATGGGAATGTCTAAAGATGGCTCTAACAGTATGGTTAGGTTGGATCGAGAAGTGGGTGTGGAGCTTGTGGAATCTGGACCGGAACAGTTGGTTGACAAAAGGAATGTTGAGGTCGTTGTAGATAGTGACGTAATAATGAGCTTTGACAAGAGGTAACAATGAGGTCCCGAGGCCATCGTCGGTTGAGGCGACGTGGCGGATCAGGATGGGAATGAGTGTAGAAGGCTCGAGCAGTATGGTCTGGATGGTTCGAAAGTTGGTATGGAAAGATTGGAATCTGGACCGGATCAGTTCGTTGACAATGTTGAGGCCTTTGCGGAAAGTGAGGTTAGTGTCATAATAAGGTGTTTTGACAAGAGGTAACAAGGAGGTCCCGAGGCTACCGTCGGTTGAGGCGACGTGGCGGATCAGGATGGGAATGAGTGGAGAGGGCTCGAGCAGTATGGTTAGGATGGTTCGAAAGGTTGGTATGGAAGGATTGGAATCTGGACCGGATCAGTTCGTTGACAATGTTGAGGTCTTTGTGGAAAGTGAGGTTAGTGACATAATAAGGTGCTTTGACAAGAGGTAACAAGGAGGTCCCGAGGCTACCGTCGGTTGAGGCGACGTGGCGGATCAGGATGGGAATGAGTGGAGAGGGCTCGAGCAGTATGGTCTGGATGGTTCGAAAGGTTGGTATGGAAGGATTGGAATCTGGACCGGATCAGTTCGTTGACAATGTTGAGGTCTTTGTGGAAAGTGAGGTTAGTGACATAATAAGGTGTTTTGACAAGAGGTAACAAGGAGGTCCCGAGGCCACTGTCGGTTGTGGCGACGTGTTGGATCAGGATGGGAATGAGTGGAGAGGTCTTGAGCAGTATGGTCTGAATGGTTCGAAAGTTGGTATGGAAAGATTGGAATCTGGACCGGATCAGTTGGTTGACAAAAGGAATGTTGAGGTCGTTGTGGATAGGGACGTAATAAGGAGTTTTGACAAGAGATAACAAGGAGGTCCCGAGGCCATCGTCGGTTGCTCGATGGAAGAAGAAGATGGGGTATAATGAAAGAGAAAACGACTGTTCTTTTTTCATGATACCATCAGCTTTTTTGGATAATCTCTGGACAAACTGGCACGGAACAATAATTTAAAAACTGACTCTCAAAAAAGGCCAAGATTCTTTCAACGAAACCAACCATTTTTTTACATTTTGCAAACATTTCTTTCTGGTAGTTATTGGCAGAACTTAAGGGACATGTATCCGTCCAAAATGTGTAAAATATTGGTCCTAAAATAAACTAAGCGTTATACGCCTTAGATTAGACGAATAAGGAAAAACCACTACAATAAATATGAAATAATTGATTTCATGATAGTGAACAATTTGGGTGTTGTCAACTCAAGGTCAACGACTTGTTGGGGTGAGATAGCCACACCTTTGGAACTCAACTGATATATTTAGATTGTGTATATACGTCAAACATATTCCTTAAAGAACAGATTTTTTGATCTAGTGTTTATTGCAAAAATTTTCAAGGGAAACGACGAGCATATGCCCAGAAATGCTTTCAGCGCACAGGTTCCACGTCACGCTTCTTTCCACGTCTTCGAAAGGACGGTGTAACTTACCGAGTATGGCCATAGTAGTTCCGATGAACATGAGCAATAGTCCGAAAGAAAGTGCTTTACAGGCGTTCCAGAAGCACCGGCTGGATACTTTCCCTTTGACGACCTCGACTTCCCAGTCGGTCCTAGCTCTGCACAGTTGCCTTCCCCCGACCTCCTGCATCCTGAAACGAGACAATCTTTTTATTTCTGCTCCGCACTCGGACGCCGAATTTTCTATAAAGGCATGATAACATTATGATGACCATTATCGACCTATTATTGAGAAGGCATCAGTTTGCAAGAGACACTATGGTTCGAGCTAACTTTAGTAACTAACGTTAGTAAGAATAAAGCTTTCAGATATAGTGGTGCTTCAAGAAGAGAACGCATTTATTCCCTAGTTGGGACCCGCTAGCGCCATTCCTATTTAATTTGGTGTTGGGATTGGCCGTGAGTACAATAATCTACTATCAATCCATGACGTTTACAATTGTACAATTTCAGTACCTTGTCTAAGCAGATGTGGCAGATAGCTAGGAAGGCTAAAGTCAGCCGATATGGAATTCTAAGAGGTAGCAGAAGAGTTCCGGCTCCAAGTGAACGATCACAAAACGAGTATATTGACAGCAAGGAGACAGAGTAGTCTTTGAGTTCAATTATCTGGGCTCGGTACACAGTCAAAAAACGAAGTTAGGTTGGACATGACATGCAGGATTGTTACAGGAGAAAGGTATTTCTCAGCTTTTCACCCTAGGGGCCAGTTGTAGAAAACGAGAGGTAACAATTAAAAAAAAAAGAAATAAAGGATCTGGAAGCAGCAGATGGATTTGGTTGGTTAATGGAAGGGGTGGGCTGAATCGAGCGCCGTGGAGGTTATGATGACAATCCGGGTGATGAGAGATCACCAGGAAAATCTCGTTTAAAATAGCTCCATTATGTGGAGGAGGAAGACTATCACCTACCTATCAGATTTTATTGAAGGAAGCCAAGGTCCTACAAGGACCGTAGAGTAAGAGTAATGAACAGGCTGCAAGTTGAGTAGTAATTGTTTTTAAGATTAAAACGTCAAAAATCCAAAAGGCTGTTACTTCACGATGCCGATATCCTTTCACCTTCCAGTGCCAAATATGTCTCCAGCTTCCGCAGTCGTACTCTTCGATGTTCTTGATTATATAGGATTATGATGATGGATAGTAAGAAGTGGGATTTTTGTCCCCTTAGCACTGCAGCCTTCTGTGTTAGTGTACTTTCCTATTTCCTTAGTTTAGGGCAATTGACTCGTTCCTTCTACTAATCAGTATTAAGCCATTGACTGTCGTTGGTGCAATTCTATTCACTGGGTTTTCTTTGTATCCACGGTTATGTTTCCATTGAACGTTTCGCATTCGAAGATGGGTGGCTGTTTCTTCCTTCTGATCGCGCAACTTACAAACGAGGTTATTATTGTATATGGCCAAGTTGAGTAGATGTGTTTTAAGACGGCAGTGAACGGTAGTCCTATCACTCCTCTTTAGGTTAGTCCTCACCAACTGTAACACTGTTGACCAATCTTGGTGAGGATTGTTGTGTCTAGTACTTCTTCACCCTCTTGGACTTCTTCACTTTCCTCTTCATCTTCTTCTTCACCTTCTTGAAGTTCGGTTTCTTCAGTCAGTTGCTGATTTTGAATGGCCGAACGATTTCCTTTAATTTGAACTTCAATATTTCTGTTGAAATCCTCGTCCTTTTTTAGATCTTGGGTTGACTTATCTTCTTTCTCTGTATTTTTTCCTTCAACGAATTGAATGTCTCTCGAGATTTTTACTATTCTCTGTTTAGGTAGCCAAACGCGATATGCCTTTGATTCGTCCGAGTATCCTAGAAAAATACATTCTTCGGATTTCATGTCGAGTTTGTTCCTTGGCCCTTTTTTTAAGATGTAAGCCTTGCAACCAAACTTTCTGAAGTATTTTAGTTCCACTTCTCCTTTTGCCTTTTTTAGATCCTTTCTGTGACAGAGGACTTTGTTTTTTTTCCAAGTATAGGTTCATGGCCTATATATGGTCGTCCAGATCCTCTTCTGGCCAGTGCATCTGCTTTTTACCCAAAATTCCTTGGGTCCTGATACCCAAGTATACCAAGTACCAAGTATTTTTTTACGTTTTTAGTTTAATAGTCCCTGTTTATCTTGGGGTGTATTTGCTAGTGTTTAGGCATTTCGCCATTTTATGTGGCAGGGAGTGACGAAGCGAACCAAGAACAATCGGAGGGGACCAGTTTTCATGTCCAACGCAACCTCAATATTTCACAACAAATTTTCATACCAACTTCAACCCGAGTCACATACTCCATTGAAACTCCGTAAAGTTCTGTATTCTTTATATCATTGCGAGGAGTTAATACACATTGAAAACTTCTTATCGAGTAGACGCTGAAAGGCAAAAGTTCTCGCAACTGCGTAACTTTTGTAATGGGTACTCGGAAAAGTCTAAATCCTTCTTCTTCGCACGATTTCAAAGATCTGGGCCGATAATCGTTCCTGGCTTCCTTCTCGGGCTAAATGAGAATTTGAATCGAGCCCGTCATTCGAATCGTGCCACGTGGGACTATCGCTGAGAAAAGGGGCCGGAGGGAGCGTGTCAAATGATAAGCTCATTGTTATTCTGTCCAGTCAAATCCTGAACACCCGGATCTGGAATTGTCCTTTTGTCCAGGGTGAAAGGCGACTGATCCAAAATTTTGATTTACCGCCGAAGAAAAGCAGGTGGGTGCAATTACCCCGGACTCCGAGCCTTGCGTCCAACTCACAGCAATGTTCAGCAACCAATGAAAAAAGTAGATGAGGTTAAATACCTCGGGATAATTGTCGTCAATCAAATGAAACGTATAGAATATTTAATAAAATAAGGAAATGCATGCATATGACAAACCATATAAAAGGATTCCCAATTAAAACTAAAACTTTAATATATATACAATCCTTTTTCATTCAGTAATGCAATTCAAATAACTAAAAATAAAACAAAAATATAAATATAGTTCTTACTCACAGTTTGTTGTTTTCAACGTCCGGATTTCGAGCATTAAACGTTCATCATCAGTTGAAGTTCTCTCGACATGAATCCTCTTCCAACTCCTCCAGGCTGATGATGAGCGTTTAATGCTCGAAATACTAATCGTTGAAAAGAACAAACTTTGTAAGAACTTTCATCATTGTGATAGACACCAAGTGGATCTTCGTGTACTGTAACATTTTATTCCCTTAACAATACGTCTGAATTTGATCTTAAAAGGATAATCTGTCTCGAACATTAAACAGATATGGCAAATCCTTTTTATAAAAACTCACCAGTTGATTAATATTTAATCTTTGTATTCTGAAGTTGGTTGAAGTTAATCCGGCGACGATGATTATTCATCAAGAGAGTCCCGGATTGGGCCGAGGTCCGGTAACGCGGCGGAATCGAATCTGGCAAAATCGACATAATCCGATGAACGGGTTAAAAGCCGCTAACGAGCCGGGCACTACTCGATTAACTCATTAGGAAAGACTCCGAACCTAATTGTATAAAGGATGAAATCGAACTGAATTTTTAACCTCTTCCATGGCAAAACGAGTCGGGCTTGGCTTTTTTTCTTATTCTTTATATTTCATTTTTATATAAACTTTTTTGACCTTATTTAACCTCGCTTTGAATTGCCTACATAGCTTGAATAATTTTTTGCTATTTGGTACGCACAATCTAGAGATGGATTTCCGTGTTAATCCAGATTTTGTTTTCTCCACTTCGCCTTCTAAATCACGTTTGCAATTCATTTTTGAATTTTAGCAATTTTCCCTTGAGTTTAGTGGTAGATAGTTTAGATTGGCGCCAAAACAATCAGTGTTGCCAATAATGTGAGGAAGCAGCAGAAACAAGACTGCGCCTGCCCTGAATTCACGAGGTTTCCTGCTAACCTTAAACAAAATCGCTAAATTTGGCAACTTTAGGAAAGAAAAGGTTAATTTATAAACTGGACGTGAAAAATTTTATGTTTGGCAAATATAACAATCGAAACAAGATGCAGTGACAGGGTGGAGAGATTAGAGATAGAAGATTCCAAGATGGAGAGATTGGCGCCAAATAAATCAGTGTTGCCAATAGTCGGGATGAATCATTAAAGGAAAACATTGCATTCGCCCTAAACCCATGCTATTAGCTATGCTTTAGCGTCTTATTGGACAAGAAAGGATTAAACAGATAGTCTCAAATTTTATTTTAGACTTTTTTTAAAATTGAGATTTTATGTCATAGGCAAGCATCAAAATTGAAATTGAAATTTCAAATTCAAATCAATTATCAGTCATTTTACATTGGCGTACACAATTTTATCCCTTACTTTGATTATAATAACTAACGTTAAAGTTACTCTTTACGACCTTTCGCACTGTAGCCAACTTTTTATCGGATCCCAATGCTTTGCTAAGGGCTTCCGTGTGTTCACCTTCAGGCTTTTCCTCTCGTAGGAGTAGAAAACCTGTATTCCGCTGTTTCTTCTTCTTCCTGACAATATCTGCACAAGATTGGTTCTGTCCGAGTATATGCTTATGGGATATGTGCTTCCGGATTCTGAAGTGTCAGCAGTTCTACTATCATTATAGTCCTACTAAAGATTAGTAGTTCTACCTTTAGTTTCTACGATGATCTTTTAATGAAGTTTTGCGCATACCTCTCTCATACCATGAATTCTGCATTCGTTACCATCTTGGTCCACTTATTTTTGCTCAGTGGGTCAGATGTGTTCGGCATTTTGTCATCTTCGGTGTTGGGTCTGTTTGATTTTGTGCAAAAGTAGAGGACAAGACTGAATGAAGAAAAATGTACTCAGTGTACTTAAGTATAATATGTATAATTTAAAAAAACAGTGCCCTCCACTGTACATCAACAACAAAGAGATTCAATTCAAATCAGATACTTAAAACTACACCTAGAGTGCATACTGACGTGGGATACCCATACAAGACTTAAGAGACAATTTAACAGAAGACTTTACTTCGAAGACTTTTAGTACCGAAATATGTTTTGACCATCAAAACTCAACTAATTCGTTACAAGATATTACTCGGATACTTTGGACATATGACATGTGACTGTGGGGTTCCGCCAAGACATCCAATCTTCCAAAATCCATCTAATGAAAAGTGCTGAGACAAATTATCGAA